TATCTTTTTAATTGGTAGAACACAGGGGGTGTTAAACGCACCCCAAAATTTTAGATATCCAATTACATCTCAAATAGTGTAGAATAGTTACCTGAGTCTAAACGACACATTGCCAGCAGGAATGCGAAGTGGCGAGCTGGCTGTGGGACTTCCGTTAAGCTTGGAAAGTCTGCGTTTTATTCTGGGTAGCCATTAGGCAAAAGTTTACTGCAGTGCGGATAATATAGGAAAGCACAGAGACCTTGAAGGGGTTGCACTTAGTAATTTAAAGGTCTGTTGTCGATTTGTTAATAAATTTTTCTTTATATTTTTGTATTTTATCTATAAAAATATGAAGTATGAAATAAAATTATTAAAATTAATTGGAACTATTTAGCAATAGGCCTTCGAATTCATAAATTTTAATTAAACACATCTCCGCTTCAGTGATACGTTTATTCAGTGTTACATCATTTTACGTTACTCTGCAGTATATTACGTCATTCTTTCACTACATTTTCTCTGCATTGCGAAATCTTATACCCAGTCGTTGCTGAGGATTAACACAAAGACTTTCTGGCTATAAATACGATCGAATGTAATTCTGTAAAAGTATTTAGTGTTTTTAATTAGATCTATCATGAATTAAAGGGATTTTTATTGAAATCAAGCAGATTAAAAATTTAAAAAATAATATTTTTAAGGGCTGCTTTTAAATAGTTATTTTAGTTTTTTTAAAATTAATAACAGGTTGATTAAATATGAAATAATATAATCTGACGTTTTTCCAAATGGCAAAGGACTCGAATGAAAAAATGACACAACGCAAAATCGTGTTTCGAGGCTTATAGGCCTTTCAAAGTTTAACAATTTAACAAAAAAGCCTTTTAAAGTTTAACAAAAGTTTAACAATTTCCTTATATTTTTAAAAGATTATATCTGAAGAATAAGAGCATTGGATTAAATAAATTAATATTCAAAGTTCTCTTCTGTCTCGAACCGCATGTGCACATTCTTTCTCTATCTGTTTCTTCTTCTCCCTGTCTATATTTATCCCTCATTGCATAATACTCATGTTTTTTTTTTTTTTTTTACACACATTACTGTTGTATTTCCTGATAATCGATATACTTACTTAAAAATTTGTTTATTGTGGAGCGAAAGAAGCATTACTATAATAAACCATTATTTTTGAAACTGAGCAGTTTTTATTTTGACAGTTAATCTAACAATATTGATGATATATTCTTGTTAATATACAATTAACATAGGGAACTGTTGTGGGTGTGGGCGGGGGGTGAACTTGCAAATACTGAACGTCAGCTGCTGTCTCCGCTATTCCCCCCCTTCCCTTCCTGCAATTTTCGTAAATAGTTTCGTTTTACACTAATGGTTTATTATAGTAATGCTTCTTTCGCTCCACAATAAAACAAATTTTTAAGTAAGTATATCGATTATCAGGAAGTAATCCGTTTCCTGATAATCGAGAATTGACTGTTGTTGAAAGTGGTGTGTTAAGTGCAAAACCTTGAAATTCAGTAATTATTACATCACATGCTTCATAACTATAACTTTTATTAACATTATTGTTTTATCGTATTCTACATAGAAAAATAAGGGATTTCTAAATAGTACTGAAATATATAATACTACATATATATTTATTTACATGATTTATGTAGATGTTGTACTTAATTTTGGGGAAGGAGCAAAACACTGCTTGGTTTTAAACCAAATCGCAGTTTGGTCACCGATGGTATCCACGAGAAATGAAACTTATTGAAAGCTGTTGACAGATCCAATGCATTTTTTCAATATTTCTGCCTATCTTGCATCTTCTTCAGACTATCAGTAAATTTCAGCTATTAGTTTGACACGAGTTCTTTGTTTTAATTTCTTGTATGTGCGATATTTTCATCGGTGCATTAAAGTTTTAATTTGATTTAGTTAAGATAATAACAACTCTGTCTGCTTAGCTAAATTTCGGAGACGTCATTGAAACTGAATGAGTAATATCCGTCAGATTTATTTTTCTTTCTCTTAAGTGGTATTAAAGTAATTTTCTTGCTTGGCATAAAAAACCAAAACAAAGTTTAATGGTTTTTAAATTTGAATTCTTAAACTCAACCTTTATCCTGAGTTCATATGCATTTTATCTCTAAAATATTCTCTGCTCAACGAATTTTGTGCAATTTTTTCTAAAGACCACATTAAAATTTTCATCGGTATGTGTGCGAATTTATAAACCTTTGAATAATTTTATTAAATAAAGCTATATTCGTATTAGTAATGTGCTTATCGCATTGATCACTCACTATTTACTTGGGACTTCTGATTCATTTATTTCCTGTTATAAAAGTGATTCTAGTAATTGCTGCAAGCGAAAATTTTGTAAAGCGTGCTGAAGGGGGTAAAATATACATCGGAACCCTACGAACATTACGAACGTCTCTCATCACGAACAAATCGATTCACGAATAATTTTTCTAAATAAAAAATGTTTCGAGTGACGAACAGTGTCTCGAATAAGGACATTCAGGCAGGCAGTAAATGATTTTCAGAGATATTTTTAGGTAGCTTTCGACACAGAAATTAATACTTAGTGATTTCTGGAAACACCATTTTAATGTTCTCCACTGTTTAATCTTCATTAACGACGAGGATAGCAGCGACAAAAGCAGGACCGCAAAGCATAGCAACTAGAAACTTACAGGACTATGAATTCGGCATAGAGGAACTTGAACGAGCAGATTTGTGTTGTCGACAAAGACTTTGCAGGCATTGATACGAAGAATTTTTCCGTACTCGTATATTGTGTCTTTTTTCGTATATTGTGTTCCGTATATTTTCCCGTATATTGTGTGTGTACGCAAAACTATCGACTAGGAATTAACACTTAAGATTTAAAGGTACTAGAGGAGGACAAAAAGAATTGAGCACGAAAGAGCTGGAACAGTTTCTGAAGCAGCAACAAAACGGAGGAAGAGAAAGGAACAGAAGAAGCGATGATTCTTATTTTTTCACCGTGAAATTTTTGCAGAATAGGATACGCGCAGCCTTTCATTGATTGATATCACCCTCCTAAAGCAACAACAGGGCATAGATTAAGCATTTAGTGCCATGTCTCTCTTTAGAAACATTTTGAAACATAGACAAAAGCAAATCACATTGGACAGATTCTTAGAGAGACACAGGCCCACCGAGCAAAAACGGATTATGTTAAAGGGTAATCGCATCTAACAATGAGATTCTGGTAGTATCAAGCCCGCACCGAGCCTAATCGGCGACGTCGTGCAAATGTCTAGCGAGCGCCTTTATGCAGTGACGATATTAAGGAACATTGCTTATGGTTAACATTTAAAAGAAAGCATTATTAGCGTAATAATATGAAACTCTCCCCAAAAAACTACATTTTATTTTTTTAATTTGTCTAAATATACAAGCATTTTGTGCTTTGTTAAAAAGCACACTCAAACATATTTATTGAAGAATTATGCATACATTTATGCTATAAAAAGCCGTCCAACCGCTATAGCGGTTAGCGTTGCTGACTGCCGTGCCGAAGAGCCCGGGTTCGAATCTCGGAGAAGGTATGGATGTGTGTAAAGGCATTGTGTCCGTGCAGCATGCGGGCCCTCTAAATATGCAAGACAAAAGTCCTCTCGAAAGGTTGATGGTAGGGGAAAGGAGGTGGGAGACGCTCAGATCCGTCCTTCTCCCCAGGATGCTCTCCATCAAAATTGGGGGCGAAACTGGGCTAAATCGCACTGTCTCCTGTAAGGTGCTCAAGGCTGTTGCCAAGGATAGGAGTATCTTGCGCTCCTTTTCACAAGGAATTTGCGGACTTGGGCTGACTATAGATCAGACAAGTGAGCATTAGTCAACAACAACATGTTATAAAAACGTAACACTGGAAGCGAAGCGAAATAATATACTAAACCCATTGGATACAGATATATTGCTGAACACTATTTACTTTCTTAAAATTAAAAACAAATTAATTTAGATATCTAATAAGTTTGCACTGAATAAAGTGTTGTTTGCAGCGTAGTTTATGACAAGGTTCAAACTGTGATTACAACAGGGCACAAAAAATGCTCTAGGGCTGATATCTAGGGATATATCCAAAATTCTTTTTTATACACCGCTATGGTGTTGACAAAGGTGTAGCATAGAGTTTCAACCGGCGATGCTAAGTTTGCAAAAACATTTCCTTCAAAAGTTTTCAAAAACTGCAGTTCATGATTAAGATCTATACTATTTATATTGCTTTGATTTTAATCAGTTAATGCTTTTTGCAGTTTTTGGCATAAGTTGAGCCGATCTTGTAAATATACGTGAACGTAAATACGTGATTCCGATGCGTATGTAAGGACAGACGACGTCGTCAAATTGCTTAGTCCTTATTTTGTCTACTGTTGCATTCGGCCCTCGGGGGGCTCACTTTTGTGAGTACGGGTGTGGCAATCCCGAGGTACCCTAGCCCTTCAGGGGATCATCTTGGTGAGACGGGTGTCATGATCCTGGAGCCCCAGTGATCTATCCTCTTTTCCGTCTCCTCTCCTCTTAGCTGGAACTTTTTCCCTTCCCTTCTCCCTTGTGGTTTCTCTCTACGGAGTTTGGGACTCGTCACGAGAGACTGGAGCAGCTCCTTGTCATCTAGTTTTTTCGAGTGGCGAAGAAAACTGCCCACGTGTTTGCCGTGCGTGGAGACCCGTGTCGCTGGAAAGGAGGGTCCTGGTAGTTGAGGGGCGAGGTACTGTCCCAACACACTGCTTTGGCCTCTGCTTCAGCTAAACGGGAGGCACCTTAGTCGTCCTCACGGGTGTCAATCGGCTAGTCACTAGTCCTTGTGTCAGTGGCTTGGGGTCAAGCTCTCGGGAGTACTTGCTTTCGGGAAAGCCGACTGTGGGGCTTCAGTTTGCGTATAGGTCCGGCTACCCCTAACACAGGAATCTGTGTTCCCTTGTTGGGCTCCGTGGTGGGCGGGGCCGTCGGACCCGAATCTTCTCTTCTTAAATATGGCAAATTCAAAAATATTCCTAATTAAAGACTTCGAAGTCAGTCCCGTGGCTCTAAGCGCTAGTTCCGAAAAATCAGCAAAAAAAGTATGTACAGATGCAACTGCTAATAATCCTAAGAATAGTCCTCGTTTCCTTGTTGTCTCTAGTTCTTCTGGCGAGCTTCAAAAGATGTCTCCTTTTGTTATAAATAAATATATCCATTCTTGCATTGGTGAGCCCAAAAATATTAAGCGTCTCCGCTCTGGAAACTTGCTGATGGATACAACTTCGGCCACCCAGTCTGCTTCCTTACTTCAAATAACCAAACTTGGTAATGCAACGGTCACTGTAACAGGGCATAAGACATTGAATTATTCTCGCGGCGTAATCTCGGAAGTCGACCTTCTGTCTGTTCCTGAAGAAGAGTTCGTTTCCGAGTTAGCTGATCAAAAGGTTTGTGCTGCAAAGCGGATCAAGATGCTTAAGGAAGGTCAGTTGATTGACACGAAACACGTCATCCTGACCTTCAAGTCGCCTGATCTGCCGAAGAATATCAAGGCTGGATATCTTAATTGCCCCGTGAGACCGTATATTCCAAATCCTATGCGATGCTTCCAGTGCCAGCGTTTCGGCCATTCCAAGATGTCCTGTCGTGGGACCCTGACGTGCGCTCGATGCTCGTCGGTTGGCCACGACAGTGATAATTGCACCGCTGCAGCACTGTGTATTAATTGCAAGGGGTGACCATCCAGCATTTTCCCGATCATGCCCAAAATGGAAAACAGAAAAGGAAGTACAGACGTTAAAAGTCACTAGGAACATCTCATATGCGGAAGCCAGAAAACTAGTGCAAAGCACACAGCCTCAATCAAACAAGTCATATGCTAGCGCCGTTAAATCAACACGTTCCATTGCCACCCAAACCTCAATAAGTACACAGACAGCACAGAATAAAACCCATCAACCTGCAAGCAAAAAAAAAAAAGGGAAAAACCAACACACGTAGTACAAAATAAAGAAGTAGTTATTCAAAGCAAGCCAAAAAATGTGTCTGAAAAATCAATTAAGAAAAATAAAAGTCCCAGCATTAGTTCTGTTGATGAAATGATTTCTGAATCGGGAGATTCAGATAGCATGGAAGTGGAAGAGGGCATGGAAATTCCCGAACATCTGCTTCCGCGCAAAACTAAAAAGGAACACAGAAAGAACAAACATCAAACATAATGGCCACCCTCGTCTCATGGAACTGTCGCGGATTCCATCGAAATTTCCCTGACATCAAAGCTATGATCAATGCTTACCAGCCTGTGTGCTTGGCAGTACAGGAAACAAATCTGAAACCAGATCAACAAGCAAAACTTCGGAGGTTTTCTTTCGTCAGGAACGATTACCTTGCAGGTGAACGTGACTGTGGAGGTGTAGGTCTCCTCACCTCACTAGACTATCCCTCAAGTTCCCTTACTTTGACGACATCCCTCCAAGTTGTCGCTGTACAAGTAAATTTTCATATTGTAGTTTCAGTCGTTTCACTTTATTTGCCTCCTAACGTGCACATTGATCAGCAAGATTTAAATGGTTTTATAGAGCAGCTGCCTGTGCCTTTCATCATAATAGGAGATTTTAACGGCCATAGTCCGCTCTGGGGTAGTAAAGATACAAATTGCCGAGGAAGACAAATTGAGCAGATGATCTAAGATCATCTGCTTAATTTGTAAGCCTTTGTCTCCTGAATAATGGGCAGGGTACGTACTTCCATGAGCCTTCAAGGACATTCTACGCTCTCGACCTTGCCATCTGTTCACCATCTCTGTTGCCAGTTTGCACTTTTAGTGTTGGAAATGATCTCTTACAACAGCGAATCATTATCCCATTTTTTGTGTCTCTTGCACGAAGAGGAGCAAACCCCGAGACAAATGTCGAGACTTCCTTCGGTTTATACTCGATAGGGCAGACTGGGAACTCTCCTCTTCCATCTGCAGAGCTTTACAGATGAAAATGGTAGAAGATGAGCTTATTGATCGATGCATGCTGGAAGCAGTTACAAATACTATTATTGAGGCAGCTATGCTTCTGCATTCCCTAGAACATCAGGAAAAATACTTTAAAGTATTCGACACCATGGTGGAATCGCGACTGTCATGAAGCACTGAAAAAACAGAAAAAAGCATGGGGTAATTTTTCGTAGATATCCCTACTCTGCGAAACCTCATAGCATTTAAAAGAGCCCAAAGCAAATGCACGAAAAGTAAGGAGGCAGAGCCAAAAGAATTCTTGGATTTCATATGTGTCGTCAATAACATCCTCCACGCCTAGTAAGCGAGTTTGGGAAAGAGTTCAAAAAGCATGCGGCATATATAAAGACCACTCACTTTCCTTTTTGGAAAAAAATGGCCGAGTGATTAGCTCCATAGAAGAAATTGTGAGACATTTGCTGCCGTTTCTTCCAGCAGAAACTATTCACCTGCATTTCTCCCTATCAAGCATCACTCTGAAATAAATCCTATCGCATTCAACTCTTCCAACTCTGAGCCTTACAATAGAGACTTTACTATGCTGGAATTAAGGAGAGCTTTGTTGCAGACACATAGGTCTTGTCCGGTCTGGATGGCGTGTATTATGAAATGCTAAAGCATCTGTCCTATAAGTCACTGACTGCCCTTCTCACACTTTACAATAGAGTGTGGAAGGAGCGTACTTTTCCCAGTGCATGGAGGAGAGCTGTTGTAATTCCTATTGCGAAGCCAGGGAAAGATCCAAGAAATCCCTCCAACTATCGGCCAATTGCCCTTACCAGTTGTGTTTGCAAACTCTTTGAAAAGATGGTAAACAGCCGCCTCGTCTACTTCTTGGAAAAGAATAAAATTATATCGCCTTATCAAAGCGGTTTTTCGAAAGGGGAGAACTACCGTAGATAATATGCTCCTTTTAGAGACATCCATTCGAAAAGCTTTCGTAAGAAGGAGTCACCTTGTCTCCGTATTTTTTGACATTGAGAAAGCATATGATAAGGCATGGAGATACGGTATACTTCGGAATCTTCACGAGAGTGGCTTGCGCGGCAACCTACCAATTTTTATTCAGAATTTCTTGAATACTAGAACATTCAAGTAAGGATTTCTTTTTTCTGATGTTTTTGACAAAGAGGGTGTGGCCTCAAGGCTGTGTGTGCTCAGTGTAACTCTTTTCAGCCTTCTGTATAAATTCATGTATCTAATCCCCCAACAGGTTCTTTCATGTTATCCTACATAGCTGATGATGACTAGCTGCTAGAGGTGTGGATATGAGACATGTAGAGAGACAGCTCCAGATCGCTTTGAACAGGATCCAGGAATGGGCAAAAAGACAAGGATTTACGTTTTCGAAACAGAAGACTGTCTGTGTGCATTTTTGTAGAAAGCGAGGTCTTCATCCTGAGCCTGAATTATACCTTAATGGGTCTGTGATTCCAGTAGCATCTGAAGTAAAATTTTTAGGGGTGATGTTCGACCAAAAATTGACTTTCCTTCCTTATGTTCTAAACTTGAGAAAAAAGTGTACCTAAGTTTTAAATATTTTAAAAGTCCTGGCGAACACCTCGTGGGGTGCAGAGCGTTGCTCCATGCTTCGCATTTACAGAGCGCTAATTCGCTCTAGACTGGACTACGGCTCAGTTGTTTACGGATCTGCCCGGTCTTCAGTGTTGTTAAAACTAGATCCTGTTCATCATCAGGCAATGCGGATTTGTTCTGGAGCCTTCAGGACGTCTCCTGTCCAGAGCCTTTATGTTGACTGTTACGAACCATCACTCCGTTTGAGGCGTGAGGAGTTGTCTCTTTTACAGTATTTTAATATTTTATCTCAACCTGACCATCCTTATAACTTGTGTATACGTGACAATAGCTGTGACCTTTTATTTGAGGCACGTCCATCCTGTGTGCCTTCTTTTCCTGTCAGAGTTCGTCCCCTCATTGAAGAATTCTCCCTGTCTGATATTTCCCCACAGGCAGTACAGCATTTTGAAATTGCACCTTGGGAAAATGCACAAATCCACCTTCTTGACATTTTCCACAATTACGGAAAAACAACTACTAATGAGAGCATCTACAGACAAATTTTTGCTGAGCACAGGCATAGTTACAGGAGTTATGTTCCCATATATACAGATGGCTCTAAGTCAGCTTGCCATGTTGGCATGTCATTTATAATTGGTGACCACATGGAAGGCAGACGTTTACACAACGCTTCCTCTGTCTTAACCTCCGAACTGACTGCCATATGTTATGCGCTTTTGTACATCTCAACGCTGCACCATCGAAAATTCATTGTATATACGGACTCCTACAGTGCATTGGAAGCTTTAGAATCCTTTTCTAGCACTGAGAATCCTGTGATAGTGGATGTTCTCAAGTTGAATATCAAATTGACATGTGGTAGATTTGAACTTCTGCTGGGTCCCCAGACATACAGGAATAAAGGGCAATGAGCTGCGGACATCGCAGCGAAATCTGCTGTTGAAATGTCCGGCCGCCTCATCCCTTTTAAAGATATCCGTTGTGTCATAAAAAAGAAGATCCGAAAGAAATGGCAGCAACTTTGGGACATTCAACTTCATAACCAGTGAGAAGGGTGAAGCCTAAAATAGAGCATTGGGATACTACTAGCAATCGCAGGGAGGAAGTTCTTTTGACTCGCCTTAGAATTGGTCACAGTAGAGTGACACATAACTACCTTCTGAAAGCTGAGAACGAGCCTATTTGTGCAACTTGTAATGTTTGTCTTTCAGTCTATCACATTTTAATTGAATGTTCATATTTTAATAGTCTTCGTGAGAAGTATTTTAATAGCTGCGACCTGCCTCTCGACCGTTTAATCGGAAGAGAGGTCAATACCAATTTGTTTCACTACCTCAAGGAAACAGGTTTCTATTATTTAATTTGAATTTTGGCCTGAGATTTTATGTTCGAATTTTAATTAATGAGATGTTTTATGATTTTATATCTATACTGCATATCTCATTATCAAAGTCATAATCAGCATTTTCATCCCATCATTTAAATATCTTTTTAGTTGCCTCGATTTTAAAAGTGTGCTGTTGTCTTTATATTTTTTTTCTTTAGTTTATATGTTAACAAAGAATCCTGTGTTTGGCGCATATGGCCTATTGAGCTTTGCGCCATAAAACTACTACTACTACTACTACTATTGTTGCAATCGTAGTAATTCGTGCAACATTTATCTTTTTTGTGATTTTTTTGAGGCGATTGCTGGTTGTTATGGTTGTTCTACATAAAAAAGGTAAGTGCATTTACATATTATGTTAAACTTAGGTTAGCCCTTTTGATTAAGAAAAGCGACGATTTGAGCATAATTACTCGAATATATATATATATATATATATATATATATATATATACATGAACCATTTGTTTATTAAACTAAAAATTATTATCTTTCGAGAAGAAAGGATTGACATATTTACAGAATACCACTGAATTTAAAATATACCTATTTGAGACTTGAAGAAGCAAAAATATACAAGGTATTCTGAAATAAAAAATTGGCCATTTTCCGATTTTTAGCAATATGGAAAATGTTTCAAAGAAAAATGTTTCGCTATTTGATTACGTCCTTAAATAGATACTTTAAATTTGATTCATTTGCTTTAATAAACAAAGAGTACTACCACCTCCTTGAATTATTTGGTATTGATCTAATAGTTCATATATTTTCCAAGCAATGGTTTAA